AACATCCATTGTTCGGATTTGCGCGATGATCGTCCAGGCCTCATTGCACATCTTGTATTTATGATTGCGATCGTTGCGAGTCGATTTTAAATCGACGTCGTACGCGATGCCGTCCGCGCAGAGATCCCGAGCGTGTACTCTTCCCCGCGGCGCGATTTTCGAAAATGTAACACGCGACTCGTCCTCGGCAGAGGATGATAACACACGGCGCGACGATTAATAATTCTCACCGACGTATCAGCCGCGGCCCGCCAAAGTCACCACCTGAAGGTTGAGGCACGTGGGGGCCCGCGATCTCATCAATCGACTAACCGGATTGTCACGTATCCTCGTTAACGTCGGGTTTCCGGGCGCCACCGATCGCTATAGTAGTAGTGATAGTGATTGCAACAGCAATGCAGTAGTAGTGGTAGTAGCAATCGTTATTTCCGAGATACCGCGAGAACCGCGAGCATCGACTCTCTTCTTCGATATACGTCGTTTCGCTCGACGAAGTTAAGGGTGCCACGTACCGCGGCGGCTAATAGCTCGCGCGTGCAACATGCAGTGGCCTCTTCGAGACACGGACGCGGAAATAAAAAAGGAGCAGGATACAGCAGCAAAAAGAGTGAACATCGCGAGAGAACTAGCAAAGAGAGAGAAAGAGAGAGTGAGAGAGGGAGAGAAAGGAAGTAAGAGAGGAGCAAAGAGCGAGAGAGAAAGAGAGAGGAAGGAAGTAAGAGAGGAGCGAAGAGCGAGAGAGAGAGAGAGAGAGAGTATCGGTCGACGTAAATCCGCGCTTTTTCCGAACACGTGCGAGTTTGACAACAAACTTGCAGAGGAGTTTTCAACGGCGCACAGTGACGTATCCCGATCCAGCAGTTTCCCTGAACGCGCTTCACGACTATAACCGTGGAAAAAGAGAGAAGGAGAGGGAGGAGAGAGAGAGAGAGAGAGGAGAGAGAAAAGAAAAGAGAGAGGAGAGAGAGAAGAGAGAGAAAGTTTTTTTCGTCTCTCGCGACTTTCCGTCAAAGCAAACCACGCGACGCGATTGTACGCATTTTAACGCTTTTGCGTATTGCGAGGTAAAAGGTCGCGCGTCAAGGAAAAAGGTAGGACGTTGGCGTGTCGAAAAGCGAGTTCGATTATCTGATTTTGTCGCGCGACATCGGAGCTCGCTTGCTCGATCGCTCGCTGGTTCGCACGCGTGCGCGCGTGTCTCGTTGTTGTTTGTTGTTTGCTGTGGATTGTGTGTCTAGCTCAATCTCTCCTACGAGAAAGAGAGAGAGAGAGGGAGAGAGAGAGAGAGATTGTTTACGATCGTAAGAGACCTGTCAGTCGGCAATTAATTAGCCTGTGTCAATGTAGTCGCTTTTATGAGCCGCTTATTTAGCGGCGACGCCGATCGCGATTTGCGATTTTCGACACTCACTGTGTGGCCCAAGTCGCGCGTCAGATAATCCGCTTCCGCTGTTCGCTTCGATTTCATTTCACGGAATGTTACAAAGTCGCGTGGGATGGTGGCGGGATATTTGTTTCACGTGGAGACTACTTGAAGCGCGCAATTTGAGAGAATTCTCCCGTTTCACACACGAAGCATTTTTGCCTCTCCCTCCCTTTGTCCCTATCTCTCCCTCTCTATCTCTCTTTTTCTCTCAGCCTCATTTTCCCTCTCTCTTGAAACAAATTCGCTATTTTTATCGTTATTGCATTGTTGTTAATGTAATTGCACCCGGAGTGATTTATCGAGCGCGCACTACGAGCGATTCTTTTACAGGATGCAATTCACAATCAAAGCCATCGCACGTGTGCGAGTGACGTGACGTTGAAGAGCAACAGCAGCGCGCTCGTTCCAGGTCACGTCGCTCGCTCGCTCGCTCGCGCGCGCCTACACACATGTTTGTCACCTTTTGCATTAATTATGTTTTAATTATAAAATAAACGTACAAGAGCGCCCGCGCACGCTCGCAAACGACGCGCTATGTCACTGCCGCGTCAATTGATACGGTTTACGTCGCGCGCAACACAGGCGGAAGCAACGCACAGAAATTCGAGGGCCATCCGTGTGCGCATCGCGAATAAAAGGAATAAAGCGAGAGCCTTGTTCTCGCTGGTGGGTGTAATGCGTTTCACCGACGGGGCTTATGTATCGTTGTAATTTCACGGATGATCGATAGAGACGAGATATTCTTTCTCTCTCTCTCTCTCTCTTTTTTTCTCTCTCTCTTGCATTCGGTTAGGGTTGCTTCCCGAGATGATGCATTATCAGTCAGTGATAAAAAGTAACGCAGAATACACTGGATTAATACTCCCGAGTCTGGGAAAGTCAAGATTCACTCATAGACAACCGATTCGTTCAAATTCGATAGAAATTTTGGTGCAACCGAACAGGTCAGTCGAATGGGGAATTTTCAGGGAACAAATCGCCGCCGGCGTAGAAAATTTATTGAGATTTAATTGAAACCTACAGTTCGATTTCCGAAAATAATTATGGATTCTAATTAGAAATATATATTGAGAGAAAAAGATGATTGATCTAATTCAAATTATATATTTATTTTTAGTCCCAAAACACATATTTTTCGATTGTCTTAACACGGAAATGGTAATAGTAACATATATATAAGAATATTATTACTAACACTATAGTAGAATTTAACGAAAAAATAGTTTTTTCATTATAACTTATAATAATTATTTTTCTATGTAATATATTATAGTTATACATTTTTTTCAGTGCAGTGTTTCAAATATGCGATTCTATAAATGGGAAATTAAAAGTTTCTCCAGTAATCCTTCTTGTCTTTATTGTATGTTAGAATTTAACAAAATATACGTTGACTTGCTAAATAATTTCATTATTCAGTAAAATATGGTATTTTAAAAATATTTTGTTTCTTTATTTTTTATTCTGTTAAATACAATAGTCATTATAAATATGGAATTTCTTGTTTGATTCTATAAAAGTATATTGACGTTACTGACTGAAAAACTGTAGTTTCCCATAGCATTTGTGTTCTTTTGATTCTGAACAGAGAAGCCTTGTTTGAGACAAAAATGAGATTTTCAATTAGTCTCGTAGTAGAATGACTAATTTTGCGAGAAACTGGGACATTTTATTCGAAATCTGTGCCGTTTTGGGGGAAAACTTGGGAAATTTCTATGCGGCCGGCGGTGATTTTATTCCTCCTCGACTTGAGGATCTCGATTTGAGTATCTCGATACTCGGTCTCGGAGATGATTTGCTTCTTATTCTTCTTCTTCTGCCTCATTGTACGCGCAGGCATGCGGTGCACGAGGTGTCGTGTGTCGACTCGGAAAATTGTTCTCGCAACGCTGGATATTTGCGGGGATGGATGCCGCGGAAAGCGGCAACTTGGCCCTGGGCCGCGCCTCTCTTCTTTTTCCATGTTCCCGATTACCCTCCTTTTTTGGCGCGCTGCGAAATTATTCATAGCCAAACACACTCAATAGTCGATGAAACGAGTGCCGACGTCGCTGAAATATCCGGGGGTGAGCCGACGCGATTCAATAATTATCGCGAGTTCGACCGGGTGAATAATTAACGCCCGCGTGTCATCCCTCGTGAGCAGCACGTATTCGGCGGGCTTGCGTGTCTCCTTGTGCGAAGAACGATAATTCTCCGGTTCCGCGCATAAAGCGAACTTTTTGCGAGTTGTTTATCCGGGAAAGATACGCGAAAATCGGGAAAATTCTCAGTCAAAATTCTTTTTCCTTCGACAAATTTCTAAGCTTTTCAAGATTGATTTTACTTAAGCGAGAGAAAGACGATAAAGCTTGTGAAGGTCGATCGCTAAATGCAAGTGCGAATAATTTAAATTATGGAAAGATATATTGATAATGTTGACGCATATGCGTCCAATATTTTTCCGTACTTGTAACGTACGCGGTGAATTTATATCCACTTCAAACCGCGTTCGAGCTCCAATTGTTAATATCAGTATTAATTAATATTCTGTTATCCCATTCTGGATTGTACATTTTTTATCTAAATGTTGCGAAAGTGTTGCAGAAATTTATTTCATTTATTTCGTAATGCTATGGAAAAAAAATATCGTTTTGTTGGCGAATAATTTCGCATATCCTTCTTTTCTGAGAAGAGTAACACGTTCGTTTGTTTTTAAGAAGTAAATTAGCAAGTTAAAAAATGATAATTAAAAATTAAAAAGAAAATCGTCTCAACAATAAGCGAATTTGCACGTGAAGAAACTCTACCTTCTCAAAATACGAGTTTCACGTTATTTTTATATTTAAAAATATATAATATTTCTATCTTGATAGATTTACATACAATAGAGAAAATTTGACTAGAAATAGACCAATAACTGACTAGTTTTACGGTCCAATTGGTGAAGCAAGTGTCGCTTAAAAACTGACTAGAAACTAGCTAATAATCAAAATTTCTGGCCAACTATTGGTTAGAAAGATGTAATTCTTTTTATTTGGGTTGGTTGCTTGCGGGTAAAAAATTTCGTGAAAAGTGTAGGATCCTTACCGCTATAATCTTAAGGATTTAGTCCCGAGCACGTTGTATACACTGAGAGAAAAATATAGTTGCTTTTGGCGCCAATTATACGCTTTTGTGGTTTTAACCACAAAAATAATTAGAGGAACCATTGTTTAAGTAAGTGTTATTAGAAAGATGGTTCTTTTAATTATTTTTCTGGTTAAAATCACAAAAAAGTATAGTTGACGCCGAAAGCAACTATATTTTTCTCTCAGTGTAGAGAAAAAAAATATGAGCGTGTGCCCAGAATGGAAAATGAGAAAATACGGCGGCAATTCGTGATAATCGCATGAAACACGAGACATTTATGTTTACCTCATTCTAAGAGCGATATCAATAATCCGACTCGATCTGTCGGCAGGAGCGACATGTAGATCCCACGAAACTGCGAGCGACTCGAGAGTAAAAGTTGAGAACCATTGAGGTAGTTTCCCCTTCAATCGTCGACGACGATTTTCGCCTAACCGGCCATTGGGTATTTTCCGGTTTTCAGGAGAACGGCAGGGCGCAAAGTTAGCGAAGCAGAAGGTGAAGAAGGAGCAAGAACCACCTTCGCGATACGTGCGTGGCCGTGTGTGTGCGTGCATGGAAAAGGAAGGACCACGAAGGACCACGAGGACGCGGCACGAGAGAGCACGGGGCGGAGCAAGGTGGCGGCTCCGCTAACGGCGCTAGCGGCGGAAGAAAAATGTCGCATTATTCTCTACGCTGGAACAATCATCAGAGCCATATACTACAGGCCTTCGAAGCGCTGCTGCAATCGGAGGTGCTCGTCGACGTGACCCTGGTGTGCGCCGAGAGCAGCCTCAGGGCGCACAAGGTCGTCCTCAGTGCCTGCAGGTAAATCGCGTCTGTTTTTTACCCGTTTACGATTTCACAGGTAGGTCGCAGTATCGACTCGCGTCACTAACTAGTGCCTGATACTTCCGTATAGTGCTTTTGTGCATGTTGCATCCGAAGGCTTAGAGAGGATTGTTTGCGGGCTGATTCGAGAGTTTTACTGTTGCTAATTTCCCGGCCAAGTTTTTACTTCAAAATGCTTCGATAAAATATTTTCAAACGTGAAAACAATTTTTTAAAAGAATTTATCTTCCAATGTACTACTTACTGTGATTATGAGCGGAGAAAAAGAATTATTTTTCAGGATAAATGTTCAGCGATGTGATTCGCGTGATCGTGAAATACATTTCAATGTAGAAAGTAAAACGAAAATTTCATTTTCTAATATTTTCATATTTCTTACTTACGTAATTATGAACAAAGAAAAAGATCCTTACTTGCGCGACGGGAGATCGGTGATGCGATTTTCGCGCCATTATAAAAAGTATACTACAATATAGCAAAATAAAATTAGAAAAATTTATTTTCCGATATTTTTCATTATTTTATTGACATAATTATAAGCGAAGAAACAAATATCTTTCTCGCGACAGATTCGGGAGATCAGCGATGTTAAGGCTCCTGGGGAGTCGCATCATCCATCTCTTTTTAATGACGTCAGAAGCGAGAAAACGCATGCTAAAAATTCCTGCGAAGTACGTCGAGATAAACAGATATATCCACAAAACGACATTTGCGATCGATTAAGTACACCTCTAAAATACTCCATACACTTTCCTTTTGTTCTAACAATCAACAAATAATTATAAATTAAATGTGACGTGCAATCATCTTTTCTAATCTAATTTTCTTATTATCTTGTCATATTAATTTTCCAATTATCTATTGATTTTTAGAATAAAAGGAAAGTGTACGGAGTATTTAATCGATCGCAAATGTCGTTTTGTGAATATATCTGTTTATCTCGACGTATTTTGCAAGAATTTTTAGCATGCGTTTTCTCGCTTCTGACGTCACTAAAAAGAGATGGATGATGCGACTCCCCAGGAGCCTTAATAGCGCGTCGCGCTAAAAAACACGTCGCGCGGATAAACGAAAGGAAAGAAGCCACTTTTACCGCGGAACCGCAAAGTTTTGCGACAAAGGGTTAAAGTTCCCCAGACTTTATCCGCTTATGTCGCGATTATGAATTCCTGCGCGTTATCCGACGGCTCCTCGTCCGCGATTGGTAACGGTCGGTCGATACTCGTCGATTGGCGGAAGCGTACAATGCGTCCGAAAGGAGCGACGCGTTTTGAAAGCGAGAGCGGTTCTTGCGCCGGTCTTTCTTGCGGGCGCGAAAAATCTCTTCTTCGCTCGCTCCTTCGTGGTTTACCGGGGCCCGAGTTCTCCGTGCTCTTCTATACACGACCACCGCAACGCGCTCTTCTCGCTCTCCGCGCGGGCCGCGTGTGACGTAAAGTTGACAACGAGCGAAAGTCTTGTACCATCCTGATTCGCTGTCGCTCGATCGGGGAAGGAACGCTAATTCTTGCGGTGGCTTTTTGTCCGCGGTTTCTGGCCACCGTTCGTTCTCTGTCTTACTCGGCGAAGACACGCAACGTTCCCCGCCGCGAGATGCATGTAACGTTACAAATAGCCGCGGTGTAAAACTTCCTCGAGCGTTGGCCGCCGGTATACGTGCCGAAACGTGCGTTCATATTTTCACGCGGAATGTTCACGCTTGCGCATTTAACGTACGCTCGCGGCGTAAATGCTCGGGTAGTCAGAGGGGCGTATTTGCAAACAGACTTTGCACGGTGGTTTTGCGGCCTACGTCGTTTGGACAATGAGTGGTGTTTGTTTGGCCAGTAAACACGGCACGAATGAATCGGAATATGAGTCAACATGAGAACTTTGTGTGTATGTGCAATATGTAAGATTTAGTTACTTTAGATTAGAATTAGATAATATATATTATTAGATATAGAATTAGATAATATAATATATATTATCGTGAGCGATCATCCGCCAATCTTCTTTAATTAATAATTAAAAATCTAATCAAAGCTACTATGAAAAAGGTAGAAGACTTTTTTCGGCTTGACCTAATACACTGAGAAAAATTTCTGGTAATAATTATCCAGCCTGTGTTATTATTACTACATTTAGTGAAATAGTATCAACTAAATATAAGAGATGAATATTACTGTATGAAAGTTAATGTTACTAACAATTTTGTAATTATTACCAAACATTTGGTAACATTTACCATATTGGTTACTATTTACCAAATGGTATGATAAAACGTATTTGATAAGTATTACCAAACTTTTTTTTTCAGTGTATACAAACACATGACAGCAGATGTCGCCACTACCATAACTCATTACTATATCGCGTGATTATTCACAAATCTTCTTTAATTACTATATTCGATAATTATTGCGAATATCGCAAAACGATATAGAACTTTTATGTTCACCTTAATTCGTACTACATTGAAAAATTCATTTAGTTGGGTTAACCAAAATTTGATTAAAATAGTGTCGAAAAAATGTTTCGGTTGTGAGGGCTAAAATTTTGTTCTTTCTACTAAAAATTTGGATAAATATGCAGAATTACGGACCACCCTCCGATTTTAATAATGTTTGGATATATTATACAGTTGACCATCCTGAATAATATTCAAGAGGTTTAAATCGTCGCCCGTTGCCCATTAAAAAGTTATTAACAAAAAAGTGTAATGGATATAATGTAATTTTCTGATATCGTAGTTTCGTATTGTCATGTTGTTTGTTAAGTGAAAGTTGTTTTATTTACATTTCTTACCGGAATGAAATAAGTTACTTTAGTTAAGTTGATATTAGACATATGAAACGTACTTGTAAGGAATGATAAGCCAGTATACGACAGTCTTTCGTATAGTTACCGTTCGACTGCTGAAAAATAAAATTCTATGAATTTCTCGCATTAACGACGAGACGTATCGAGTTGTTAAATTTATAAATTGCATTATAAATTGCATTATAATTGCATTTATAAATTAATCTTAATTTAAATATTTTTTTAGTAAGTACTGCAATATCGAACGACTAGCGGGGGGCTGTGCCATAGAAGGAGGAGGGCATACTAGGTGGCGGCGGGACGCCATGCGTTTGAGATCTGCGTATCTTTTCGTTCCAGAGGGAGAAAAATATCGAGAGCGCGGTTCCTGCTAGGCCGGGACTCGAACCCGGATCTTTCGCTTGTCGGGCGACTGCTCTAAACCACTGAGTTACCTGACGCTCAATGCTCACGACATTCTCCCTCCCCAGATAACGTTCAGAGATACCGTTCGGAAGCGATATCTCTGGCGCGATCCCGAGAGCACGGCGACTATAGAGAGAAACAATGTTACTATACCAAATGGTACAGCTGTCAGTCTCTCAAAGTCAAAGGTTGCTATCCTTTAAGACCTGCTGTCCATGTATGCTCGTCTCCACCGGGCTGTGCCCCCCGCTAGTCGTTCGAGATTGCAGTTATTATTCGATATTGCTCGTTAACTGTACACAGTATCGGAAAATTGTACTATATTTTTCGAACTTCTTTCATCAATAACTTTTTAACAAACAATGAGCGACGGCTAAAGCCTCCTGAGAGTTATTCAGGAGGGTGACCTCTACAACATATGTCAAGGTCAAGGTAATCGGAGGGTGGTCCGTATTTCTGCATAATTACCAAAATTTGGTTCTGTGAAACTAAACCTGTTTCATATTTGTTTCAAAGAATCAAACCTTTGGTTCAAAGTACCAAATATTGGTTTTCACAACCAAAATATTTGTTCCACCTTGTTTCGGAAGTTGCTCTGGGACATCCTGTATATGTATGTGTGTATATATGCTAAATGAGATAATTATCTCGAAAATGTGATCGAGATTCTTGAATTCCTATAGAGTTAGGACGATGTTTATTTTGATTCATTTCGTGAATTATTATCATATACACGGCACTACACTGAAAAAAAAGTTTACGACGATTTGATAATAATTGTCCAGCTTGTGTTATAGTATCTATAATTATTACATGACAATTATTAAATCGTTATGATCTTTTTTTTCAGTGCATGTACCATCTCTTAAATCAAGAATTATACGATTTTCAACTTAAAGTTCAAGATCGTTTAATGATTTTTAGCTTAATGTTGAAAATTGCACAGGTAACTCTAACTATGATGCCTAAGATTATAATAGCTTTAATTATAATAGTTTCAGTCTTATTCGTAAACATATAAGACCGAGAATCGTATAACTCTCGATTTAGAGAACGGTAGGGCATCCATGGCGTCGTGTGTAGTCACGAATTCATACACAAAACTCCAATAATGCCTTCCATTTCCGACCAGGATATTTTGGCTCGGGCGTATCGTATCTACATATTTTTGTATCATGACTGTTAGTTTTAAGAACAATTGGCAACTTAGTCACATTAAATGCGACAGTAATAGTGCATATATGCATTCACCGCGCATATTACTATTGCATTTAATGTGGCTGATTCTTTTCAAAACTACCAGTCATAATACAAAAATATATGCGGATATATTACCGCATATTAAGATATCTCAGCCAGAAATGGAAGGCTGGGGAGTTCCGTGTAAATTCCTTATTATTCTCCAGATCGAGAGTTACTAAACATTTTCGATTAGGTGCACTAAATCGTTCTTAAATACGTGTTTATAATGTATGACAGATAATTAATCAGAAGAGCGGCAACGATGTTCTCATTCTTTTCTCCTTATTATTATGGTATTACCTAATACCAATATATAGTTTTTTTTTAAATATATATCCATTGATTCGTATAATTTTTTAATTATATATAACATATAAGCTAGGATAATTGTCAACATTACTACGCCTACTGTTTCTAGTGTGCCTTTCTATTTAAATAAACCATAAAAAAGAAAATAGCACAAGTAAATAGAAAAATATTTTTTATATTAAAGTATTAAACTTGATACAAAATATTTGTTATATTTATTTGTGCTAGTTTTTATGGCTTATTTAAATATAACTAGAACAATACACGCGTGCGCCATATAGCTAATAAAAAACAATAAAAAATGTAAAATAAAAATTAAATTAAATTAAAATATACTTTAATTAATTAATAATTATAGGGAGAGACAGGGAGAGACGAGGAGAGACAGGAAGAGACGGGGGGAAACGGGGAGAGACAAGGAGAGACAGGGAGGGACAGGGAGGGACAGAGAGGGACAGGGAGGGACAGGGAGAGACAGAGAGAGAGAGATAGGAGAGGCAGGGAGAGACAAGGAGAGACAGGGAGGAACAGGGAGGGACAGAGAGGGACAGGGAGGGACAGGGAGAGACAGAGAGAGAGAGATAGGAGAGGCAGGGAGAGACAAGGAGAGACAGGGAGGAACAGGGAGGGACAGAGAGGGACAGGGAGGGACAGGGAGAGACAGAGAGAGAGAGATAGGAGAGGCAGGGAGAGACAAGGAGAGACAGGGAGGAACAGGGAGGGACAGAGAGGGACAGGGAGGGACAGGGAGAGACAGAGAGAGAGAGATAGGAGAGGCAGGGAGAGACAAGGAGAGACAGGGAGGAACAGGGAGGGACAGAGAGGGACAGGGAGGGACAGGGAGAGACAGAGAGAGAGAGATAGGAGAGGCAGGGAGAGACAAGGAGAGACAGGGAGGAACAGGGAGGGACAGAGAGGGACAGGGAGGGACAGGGAGAGACAGAGAGAGAGAGATAGGAGAGGCAGGGAGAGACAAGGAGAGACAGGAAGAGACATATCTCTTCTGTATTTTTTTTCGTGACCTAACCAACGCGATGACAGCTATTTGCCTGATAATTTGACAGGTGCAAATGACACGAAACAAGCCGCAGCCCACATGAAGTAAAGAAGCAAAACAATTAAAAAGCGGTAACAATTAAATCTTTTACATGCCTTTTTTTAGAGAGGATACAAAGGTACTAACAGAAGCAGACACAATAATATGGACAGTTACGCTAGTAACTTTTTTACAGACGCAACGAAACGTCAAATTGTCAAAATGTCAACTGCTTTGAGATATTGTTACTGCTTTTATGATAAACATGTACTTAGAAATAAATGCGCGATCGAATGCGATCGAAAATGTTTAGTAACTCACGATTTAGTATAGCGATAGTAAGGCATTTATGAATTCATGTATATATTCGTTGGATGATCTATGTAGCGAATCAAGCTGCCTAAAGCATGCTGATCTGCATGTCAGAAGACACGAAATCATATGATTTTAGCTTTAATCTACCACGTACAATATTGGGTACAAATTTGTGAGACCTGAACGAATATTCGATCGTTCATAACTTTCGTAAAGGGTTCGGGAAAATTTCAAGAAAGCGTGATTAAAAGTGTAAATCTGTCTGCAGATTATGTTTTTATTACACGCTATTATCTTATAGCTGAGGTTTTTCTGCATCTCTGAAAAAACATGTGTCTAAAAATATTGATTGTCAACAAAGTTATATAAGTTAGTAGTTTAAGGTTATTCAAGTCTTGGCTCACAATCTCACAATCTTACAATGTTCAATTTCTGGGTGCGATTCAAACTTAGAATGTGAGTATTGTAAGATGATGAGTCTTGGTATAGTGTATGCTGTGTTCTAAAAAATACGATTATATGTAATTATAAGTTTCAGATATTAAAGATATAATAAGTAAATGCGCGATGTATATATTCACTAACTCGTTCCATTAGCTTGTAATTGAATATTTGTTATACTGTAATTCTATTTGTTATACTAAATATGCACTTGATTGTATGTTTTTTATATATAAATTAATAAGGCACAGCCGTAATTGACATTGTAACGCCGCCACTTACCGATGACCATCACGACAATCAATGTGCTGAAGAAAAATCTGAGTAGCCATTTGCATGAACGTTGCTCGAAAGATCGCGTGTGTCTACGACATTATTATGTGCTAAGATAAGATAGGTGCGTACAAGTAAATGACATTGGGACAGAGCACGAAATGGCTGGTGATATGCACACGAGTAAGTCACACGAAAACATATGGTTTGTTACGTACTCGTTTGAATTTTCTACAACTTATCCTTGGACAGCTTGTGCAAAGTGACCAGCCTACGATGTCGTCCAATGAAACTGACGTCGAAACGTCAGTTTGTAATTCTTTTTTATCATTTGAAAAAGAGGTTAAGTCCAGGTAGGTTTATGGCAAGGTATGTGCCATGGACACATAGATGAGAGCGCATTGCTACACGGGGAAAAAAGATTGATTGAATTAAGATGACAATGAAACGCAACTCAACGCGTTTTAGTTTGAAGGAAGCAAAATTTCAGAATTCGTGAAACCGAATTGGTTCACAAGAATCAGAAATTTGATTCTCTCCAAATAAAAGGCGTTTCGTTCGTTCAATGCCAGATTAATTCAACGAAACTTTTTGCTCCTTTTTATACATTCGCTCGTTCTCGTGACATGATAGGATGAGAAAAAAAATAGTAACAACTTTCTGATGAAATTCAATTTTAGCGTATGACGAAATATTGATGCATTATCATGTCTCTTAAGAAAGTTTGAGATACTGTGAAATTCTCGGTAATTCAGAAATGATAAATTTCTCATGTTAAAATGACTCGAATCACTGAAAAATTCAAAACCCTAATCTTTCTTTTAATTACTCAGACGTTGAAAAATATTGTCTACAGAGATACAAATAAATTATGCTGAAAGTCGAATTCAGTACTCGTCGTTTTGAGCCTTGAAAGCAAAATCGGGGACAAGAGTTGCGAATCACGCTTGAACCGCCCGCTAACATTTCGCATAGTTGTGGCTTGCGTGAGTCGGTTTCGGTAAAAAGCAACTTTTTGCCTATATTTTTGCTTACAACCTCTTCTCTGCTTTCAGCTAAAGCCAATGTAAATAGCTAATCTGTGTAACAATCTGCATTTTCTCACGCTTCTACGTATGCCGCATGCCCGCTCATTGAAGATTCCATGTAGACTTGTCAGCGCGAGACCTCGCATCTTCACCGCGGTACTGTATGTTTTAGTCCCTTTTTTGAGAGGATATTCGCGGAGCACCCGTGCAAGCATCCGGTGATCGTGCTGAAGGATTACACCGTTCATGACGTGGCTGCTCTGATCGACTTTATGTATCGCGGCGAGGTGCGAGTCGGTCACGAGGAGCTGCCAGGGTTGATAAGGGCCGCGGAGAGTCTGCAGGTGCGGGGACTGTCGGAGCCTATAGTGACACCGGCAGATCCTATACTGACATCGTCGGATCCCAGGATGACGTCGCCGCCGGAAACACCGAGCCTCTTGGGCGAGCCGCCGACGCCGGAGGGCGCACGACAGGACAGCCCTGAAGAGGACGACAATGTCTCGGAGAATATGCCGTTGCCAATCGTGAAGGAGCTCGCGGCGGCGGCAGCGACGGCATCCAATCCGACGTTCCATTCAACGAGGGACCATCGCGACATGCCGCTCAAGCTGAGCTTCCAGACGATACGCGAGATGTGCAGCTCGCCGCTGATGCCGCGCCGGAAACAGGCGCGACCACGCCGACGGTCGGGGGAACTGCTAGTGCAAACGATGCCGCAGGATCTGAGTAGGAACCACACGTTGGCCAATTCGAGCCCGTCTCCGAGTTGCCTTAATCTCAGCGCTAGTCAGCATCAATCTCAGCAGGAGCAGCAGCAGCAGCAGCAGCAACAACAGCAGCAGCAGCAACCTCAGTTCCACCAGCAACAATCTTCTAGCAATGCGCAGAACCAGCAGCAGCAACACCATCAGCAGCAACAGCAGCAACAGCAAGAAGACATAGCGGAGAATCTTTCGATGAAGAGGTCCGCATCACCGAATGGCCTGGACCGGCACCGGAAAACGATGAAGACGGAGGGTAGCGAGACGGCGAGCAGTCCTCGCTGCTCGCCGCTCACCGGCTCGAATCTCTTGCACCCGGACGGGCCTATTCAGGATGTCGCTACCGCGGCAGCAGTGGCGGCAGCGGCGGCCTCGGTGGCGGGTCTGCCGCCGATGTCGACGTTGTCGCTGACGTCGCCGCATCATCATAGCGAGTACCTGACTAGCCTGACGAGCCTCGGCCAATTGGCTCAATGGCTACCCGGACATCCGCAGGGTCAGCTACCGCCCCCGCCACCGCCGCAGAGCCATTTGGCGCGAGAGGGCAGTCCACACGTGTCGGTCAGGAGTCACCCGTACCAGCAGCAACAGCAACGGCAGGACTCGCCGTTGCCGCCGCGACGGACTTCCGTCGCGGCGATGTTCCCGACGTTGGACGGCGTGCCAGGTCTTGGTGCTGGTCTCTTCCCGCACGGGACCAGCCTCGACAGAAGCAGCCTGCTAGCGGATCTCCACGACTTCAAGCCGGAGGCGCTGCAAGGACTCTTCGCCACTAGTAACTTGAGCGCCCATCATTCACCGCTCTCGAACAAGAAGCCGAAGAAGTATCGAGGCAACGGCGACACGCCGCGCAGATGGAGTGATCCAACCGCCCGGGGTCTGCCGATGGACAGGCCGAAGGGTCAACACAGTGCGCCGCGAGGTGGACCACCCAGATCTTGGACGAACGCCGAGCTCACCGAGGCGCTTCAGCAAGTCTGGAATAAGAAAATGACGACGTCGCAGGCCAGTCGGATATTCGGTATACCGTACAACAGCCTGCTGATGTACGTGCGCGGCAAATACGGCAAGAGTCTGAAGCTCGAGCAACTGCGGAGGGACTGCACCGGCTCCGGCACCAGCAATCCCGACTTCATGAATGCGGTTAACAACAACGTCAAGGCCGTCCAGCAGACTGCGCAGCTCAGCCACGGGTTGGCCGCACTGCCGCCGTCGCATCCAGCGGACGACGGTGGCGGTTACCACCATCACCCGCTTTTAGGCGGTAACCTGCCTCAGGGTTTCTATCCCGACTTCACCTCCGCGCCTTTTCCAATGCCGGTCAACATGGTGCATTTACTACCGCCGAGCGAGCAGAAGGGCTTCGAGTCATCTGGGAACCCGGGCGGCGGCGGCGGCGGCGGCGGCGGCGGCGGCGGCGGCGGTGGTGGCGGCGGCGGCGGTGGCGGTGGCGGCGGCGGTGGTAGCGGAAGTGGAAGTGGCGGTGTTGGTAGTGGTGGTGGTGGTAGTGGTGGCAGTGGTAGTGGCGGTGGTGGCGGTGGAGGCAGCGGCGGCAGTGGTAGCGGTAACAGTGGCGGTGACATCGCGACCTCGCAGAGCAGCCGAACGCCGTCGCCGTTGCAGGATGACGAGCAACAGCAGCAGCAGCAGCAGCAGCAGCAGCATCATCATCACCATCATCATCATCACGAGTCGTCACTGCAGTCGCAATCGCAATCGGCGCCCGCGTTGCTCCAGCACAACGGTTCCGACTAGGACTGGCCGTTTCGGACCGGTACGTTCGTTTACGCGCGATCATTACTCTCGTCATCCTCGCCCGGATGATGACGACGACGACGACGATGACGATGATGGACACACACGCGGATGACAGGCCAATTGGCCGAGTATAACACTTGCAAGTCGCGAGTACACACAGCCCGCACTCCTCATCCGTCGTCAAGTCCCTCGTCGTAGATACGCGGGTAATAATACAAGTTTGAGAGTCATAACGCGCGTGCCCGATTCTCCTTGAGCCGCTACTTTCCACAAGACTGACTTTTACCAACTAACAGCTCTGCCAGAGTGCACTCTCGATGGACACATTCGAGCCCCCGCTCGGTCCGCGTGCGACGTGTTCGCGTTCGCGGATACCGTTGGCGGTCTCGACGACGCTCTCACGCCGGCACATAGCTCGTGCTCAGTTGGGAAAGAATGATCGAACGCACTCATGTCACGAGCCACGTTTGAGGAGGCAAATTAATTGCATGACGATGCGATTGTGTGCTTGGTCGTTTATCCCGTGGCTAATGTTCCCTCTGAGTTTAAGCTTCGAGAAACGCCGCGAAAGACGCGAAGCTGTCTGTAAGCGAATGGCACTGTAAGGAAAGCGTAAGGAGTGGAACTGAAACATCGAGCGACTCGGTCAATCATATTCGAGAATTATTTGAGAACGTAAGATTGTCGTGTTGAAATTCTCGACTCTGCTTGATCGATTCGTTCATTGCTTCGACTCCTCGTTTGCGGAGAAGGATGAGATTGAATTAGCGTGGCAATGCAGTCAAACACGTTTTGGCCGAAAGGAACCGAATTTAGTTTGTAAAAACCAGAAATTCTGTTTCCTTCGAACAAGACATTCACGTTGATTCAACCATACCTTTTCCCGCGTATTGCTTACGTTTTTGTGTGTGTCATGGCCTTAACTAGACATAGTCTGATATTTTTTTAAACATTTTTCTCCTTCTTTTCTTCTTCGTTTTCTTCTAGTATAGGAAAGAAGAATATACAGATAAAGACAATATTCATTCCGACCACGACCTATCGCTGACGTGAGCAACAATAGTCGCAGGGTATCGTCAACGATATCATAGGCGAACAATTCGCGCGTCAAACGTCGTTAATCGCTCTGCGCTTGTTCTGTTTTTGCCACTTGCGTTTCGTTATCCACGTTAGCCGCAGTTTCGCGAATCTTTCTTCCGTCGTTGCGCTGAGTATGCACGCGAGATTTGCATTGCACCGAAAAGATCCGGATTAAAGGTACACTGGTCGGAAACTCGAAGATCGTGTCATCTTCGGATGTTGCGTCCTTCATTTCGTTTTTCGAAAGTGCTTTCAAAATGTTTAATATAGAATTATGTCGCAAACAGTTGATGATTACCTGGGAGTTGTCTTGCGCGCGCGATCGAGTCTCCGCGGCATGCAAAGTCCTCGAGTGCATATTCCGCCGTTGGCGTCGTCCTTTCGTCCTTGTCATCCGGAACATTCGGTCGAGCTTGCCGCCAATGAAGCCCGCACGAACGTCGTGTTGGTTCACGCGCCGTTTACGCACGCGAATTAACGAATTCTTCCTTCTCTTCCTCAAGGATCAAAATTACAAGGTCGCGCGGGTTAGTATCCCGCGCGAAACAGGACGACGAGATCCTTCGCGGCCAAGAAAGTTCTGGCACGAAAATCACTGAGATATTTCCTGAAATAGTTCCTGCCACGAGAGAGCAATTCATATACCAAATAATATACTGCGAATTACCGGGTAAAGTGTGCGGAACGGGCCAGTGCTGTTGTATGGTGAACACCCGACCGAACCGAGCATCGGGTTGTGATTGCGAGGGCTTCCGCAATCCGTCGGGTGTAAAATATCTTGAGCGACAGATCAAGCTGACCCCGCGCGATGCGCGATCTTCGTATACCTTCTGACTTGCATACTGACCAGCACGTTGTAACAACGTACAAAAGCCGACGTAGTTCTATTTCTACCAAATGTTATTTAAATCTTGATCTGAGTTTAAACTCGGCTTGGATCAAGACTTAAATTCGGATTAAGATTCAATCGACGTTCACAAAAAACGGCCAATAATAGCTTTAACATTTCAAGTGCTACATGGAGGAAAAAATTGGTTGAATTAAGGTGACAATAACAACTGTGGTTTGGTTGAAGGGGAGAGGAGGAGAGAATTTCCGCTTTTCAAGAACTGAATCTGGAGAATTACATCGAGGGAAAAAGAATTGTCCAAAGTGTATTGAAACTAAGAAAATACGGACCGTTTTAACACATAAAGTTGTACCGTTTTAAGGTTTCCTAGAAGAAATATACAGTCAGATGCTTAAAGGTTGCAATACTTTTATCTAGATGAGTTTCACAACGTATTCTGTATCCAACAAAAAATGTATCTCCTGAGAATTGCTAAGATACATTCTCCCATTCGATGCCGGATGCGTTGCTAAACTCATCGAACTAAAAGTGTCATAGTCTTTAAGCATCCGACTATATATTTCTTATGGGAAATTCTAAAATGGTGTAACTTCATGTGTGCTAAGACTATATCAGTCTGTGTATGCTCGTGGGTAGAAAAATTGTCTGTAATTTTTTAAGTGAGTTTGAAACATGAATTCTCCCATAGAACAAGACGAAGACTTCACAAAATTGTTTAAAAAATGACGGACAACTTTTACGCTAGCTTTTTGCTAGCTTTCAACATGATTTGGACGTTTTCGATGCAGTGCGAAAGGCAGCCGATGTTTAACTTAATATATAGAAATTATTCAAGACACGTTTTCCAGCTGCTTCTCGAAGCGGGAAAAAGTGTCCAAACCGTACCGTAGCCAAGTGTATACTAGGTTGGAAAATAGTTTAGACACTATGGGTGCACCCAATACTACAACCGCTCGCTGAACACTCAGTAAGTTCGTGAATTTGGTTAGCTTCTATATTTTTAGATCTTGATAAAATCTCGATGAATTAACCTGATGAAATCTGATGTATTAACCAGATCCAAAAGTGCACATTGAACGCTGAGGGTGCTGAATGCACCCAATGAAACAAGGAACGCACCAAACTGTCAAGATTGAGAGTCACTACTGACAGACTTGCGCTTGCAGTGATCGCTTATAATTTATAACTGCCGAAATGACAGTATATATTGAAAATATTGGCTCCTTATTATACTCTTATCTGATAGACGAAAGTATAATAAAAATATTTAGACCGAAATAATAGAACGCTCCTTGATAGAGTTAACTAATAGTGAAATATTAATGGCACATAAGGTTAGCATATATAAAAAATATATAAAAAAAAGGAATATTTGAGTCTCCGGTTTAATGGGGGTTTGGGATTTTAATTAAATATATATTTAAAATTGGGACTCAAGGATCGGTCTAAGTATGGAAGGTTGATTCTCCGCGTACGGTAAGCGAAGAGAAAATTTCGATACGTGCGTTTGACATACTGGACATTTTTATCCTCTCACAATCATATTAATATTAAAGTTATATTAGTATTTAATAGCACTAAGACATCCGTGCTAGCTCCTTATGTGCCATTAATATTTCACTATAATAAAAATATTTAGGTTTATCTTGAATCTTCCTTTGCAGGAATGGGGATGTCTCGAATGTTGTCACTTCGGCTCCTGTCTGATTATTGCGCAAGCCCGTCGTTAGTAGCTTTCAATCGTGATAGTTTGATTATATCATTGTGTCTAAACCATTTTGCAAGTGTACAGCGTGTTGGTCAACGTTGGTAGACAACGTTAGGAGACTCACGAAGATCGTGTGACGCCAGCTTAACGACTTCAATATTCAGGGCTTCAATTTTTTTTGAGTGCAGACACTATCCGGATATCCGATTATTCGGACAGTAAGTAAATATAACACTTCAAGTTCAGGTTATCCGATGAATTCGGATTTCCCAAGATACTCGACCAGTTGAATCATTGAATCCGGCTCCGGGTCTGGATCCAAACAGACATGTTCGCAGCAATCTAGATCTTTCTCGCGAAAATTTACCGATCAATATAAATCAATATGTTTTAATTGCAACTTGACAACTAACCGAGTGACGGTTGTACTTATTTTTTTATATAATTACTAGAATATTACTGGCGCGCGCTATTTGGAATCTTTATTATTATAATGAAGATCCTTTTAAATTATCCTTTTAAATTATCTTATAAAATTATCTTATTCTTATTAAAATTATCTTATTTTTGTCTTATTCTTATTAAAATTATCTTATTTTTGTCTTATTCTTATTAAAATGATCTTATTTTTGTCTTATTCTTATTAAAATTATTTTATTTTTGCCTAAATAATATGCTCCTCTCTTTGTCCGCCCTTTCTTTTCCTCTTTCTCCTCTACCCTTCTATTCTCTATTGTTCTATTCTTATAATTTATATCTCTTCTGTATTCTTTTCTTCATGAGCTAACCAACGATGACAGTTATTTGCCTAATAATTTGATAGGCGCAAAAGATATGAAGCAAGCCGCAGCCCACATGAAGTGAACTAAGCGAGACAACCAATCAACATCGCGGAAAAGAGGCTTCAACGCTTCGATACAAAATTCACGATACAAATTCATGATAATACGCACTTTTTATTAAGAGGAAAGATTATATCGAATAATTTTATTATTAAATTTTTATCAATCTTTTTATTTATCTTTTTATTTATTTATTTTTTTATTTATTTTTTTATTTAAATCGAATCGACATATTTAGTTTTGGATTTCGACTCTAGATCCGCGGATCTTGGTTTTAGATTTAGATTTAGATTTCTACATATTTGAATCTCTTCTCTGTCTGAACTTGGTTTTAAATGGTTTGAACTTGGATAAAGCGGTTTTGAGTTTTCGAGTTGAAACCGATCTTGGAGATCCAAATAGTTAGATATGCGAATACTTGGAAGCCTTACTGACGACTATATTTGCGACAGATAATGATTCTGATGCAAGGTGAAGCAAAAGTTCTGTTTTCACTTTTTTTTTCTTTAATGGCGATAGATGCGATGAGATTAACGGCGGTCTCAAAGAGCGGTTACGAAGAGCTCGTTTCTGAGTACCGCTTTTGCCATAAGAGAAACAGAACCGTTAATTATAATAGAATACTTTACAGAATCTTCCTTTAGCGGGTGCAAAGACGCTGCTGGATCGAAGTCGGACAGAAGTTTCTAAGACGCGCCGCGAATCGTGCGTTAATCGTGAAATTGGTTCGCATGTTATCTCGTTAGCCGTATCGTGTAAAGAAGAAGGAAAATGAACAGAGGGAGGGAGAGGGAGAAAATTTCTGAATTTCGAATTGAGCAATCGACGAATTCGACGCATCCGTGCATCTGTGTGTATGTGTGTGCGCGACATTGGCGGTCCTTCCAAGTAGAACAGACCAACAATAATTGCACGTAGGCTCTGAGAGTCTCAAAAGTTTGCTAGTGTAAAAATTCGAGCAGCTTGCAGATCGCGAGTCTTAACTCCACACTGAACGGATGAACACATGCGATCTTTTCGATGTTTAAGTACATAGTATATGTTTTTAGAGATTACGTATCTGTATAGGGTTAATTCTTAAATTCGATTAGGCTTTTAATTCGGTCGAATTGTGTTGTTTATCGACCGCGTGTTTCGACCGACCTTCCCGGATGCACTCGAGCACAGTGATGAAAGAGAGAGAGAGAGAGAGAGAGAGAGAGAGAGAGAGAGAGAGAGAGAGAGAACGAGAGAGAGAAAGAAAGAGATAGAATAGTAACGTCAATACGACAGGTCGGGGCGACGCTTTACGTGTCGTCCGCAATATCATCTACCACATCGATAAAGAAGTTTTGAATCTTTGTCGTGTCTAGCCCGTCGAGATCTTTCCGTTGAAAAAAAGCCTCCGAAAACACAAATCCGATCACTCCGGTAAACATGGTGACGTTAAGTGACGTATTATGCTATTAGTAATTATTTTTTTCTTCTTTTTATTATCCTTTATCATACACAAGCTGCTATAGTTTGAAGTTTAGCGACATTTCTGACATTCTAAGCATGATCTTGAAAGGAAAGTAGCCATTGGTGCAACCCTACATTGTATGAGACGTTCATTGATGCGTTATTAATACGTCATTTGACGTATCATCCTGCTACGTGAGACCCGCGTCGTCGGCGCGATCGCTCCGATGTGCATGACGTAGAGACTGTGTATGTATGTCCGCGAGTAGACACGTAGTGTAATCTGTATATATTTTCAAATTGTTGGGTGTGTTTGATTCCGCTCTCGTGTAGTGAATTCTTCTGTCCGCTTTTCTCCCCCCTCCCCACCGCGAACTCGGTCGCGCGTTTTTACATGAACGAATTGACAATTCGACGAGGAACGAGGCGAACGGGCGCGCGATCGCCGGACCTGGGCGAATTCGCGAAACGTAAAACAATCCTCTTAATCCGTTCTTAATGCGTTCTATGTTTTCACTTTTTCTTTTTTACGATCTATATCACACACCAGGTGTACCAGACCGTAATACGTCCTGCGTTGTTGTCCACTCGTTCTCGCGTAAGTTGTAGCGCGTAACTTAGGTAACTGTGAGCGTTCAATCCTTTCGGTGCATACGACGAGTTTCCGTCGCGCCGCGTCATCACAGCGGACGACGTCCGATTCGTCGATTTTCCAGAATTATTACCAGAAACCTGGTATAATTCACGGCCCGCGTGAGTAATAGCGGCTTAAGGGAGAGTTGATAACGTTGATTTCGGTGTAATTTAAATTCTCGGCGATACACAGATACGGTGAAGATGTTTGCTTGTAGCATTGAAAGCTCACCAAAAACGGTCCAGGTTCGAATATACCCGAGATAACTGGAAATAAACGAAAAGAGAAAAAGAATAAGGAAACGAGAAAGAGAGACACAGAGAGGGCAAGAGAGGGAGAGAGACAAAGAGAGAGAGAGAGAGAGAAAGAGAGATTAAACGGAATAAACGATGAACAAACTTTCAATCGTAGACCACAATTTCACAACAATATTTCGACAACCAGACGGAAGCGCAGGGTAACTAACACATCAGGGATAGCCACAGACAAATCTACGATAGATAAAGAAAATGCTACATATTAAACTGTAAAAGTAAATTACATAAAGCTATTATAACATTATGATTATTTCGTTAAAGAAGTTAAGAAAAAAAAAAAGAAAATAGAGAGATGAAGGGGAGAGAAAAAGAGAAAAGAGAGCGAAAAAGAGAGAGAGACAAAAAAGAGGCGAGGAATGGCAGAGGGACGATATAGTAGATACTATTAATACTATATAATACTATATATATTATATATATATATAAATATATATATATATACAGGGTGTTTCAAAAGAGTTTATAACTGCTGCAAC